AGAGAGAAGAGAGAGAGAAAAAGAGAGAGAGAAAACGTACCGCCATCCAAATAGATCAAGCCGCCTCCGTCGAGAGATACATCTCCTATGGGTACCCAAGCAGTCACCGAAGTAGGCTCTCCGTATCGCATAAACGACTGATCATAGTGAACACCAATGGCCTTGTTCCCCGGAGTATTATTCCGCAGCAACGTTCTCTTGACCGCCAGTGTATCGTCTCCCCAACCGCTAAACCGGGAGATAAAGTCGCGCAGGGCGGGATGGTTGCAAAACCCTCGCGTCTTGCCATCCTCGGAACCGCAATACCAGTCGTCCGTGTGGGCTTTCAAGGCCAAGTCTACAAAGACTTCCGACTTGTCCGTCTCGCCGGGGCGAGCGTTGCCCTTGACGCTGCCCGCGCCGATGCCGGGGTAATCGGTAGCGGATGCCGACGAGTTGAAGATGCCATCAACGGCCGCGGAACCCGGCTCGATTACGCCGCTCGCCGAGAGCGAATCAAAGTAGGAGGCTCGTGCTGATAAAACATCTTCGCGCGGTAGCAATCCTTTGAGAAGGAGGTAGCCATTCTTGTTATATCTTTCCCTCAAGACTTCCATGGGCTCGGAAGGATAGGATGGCTGCAGCTTGTCCACCTCGTTGGACGCCAGCAGGCCATCATTGACGTGGAGGTGCACACCGTCAATAGTGTGTGGATGTGTCGGGGTTAGGATGTCGACAGTCATGATGTTGAACAGCTGGAAATACAACGTGTATGTTCAAGAGATTATAATGTGTCAAGAGGGGAGATAAAGTACAGCAGTCCTGTTTCAGAGGAGCGGCATTCCAAGTCTGCCTTAATATACATGACTTTTTCATCATACTCCAAGCATCCTTGCCACTTGAAATGTTCATTACTCCGTGTGGGTATGGCAAAGAACCAATCTTTTATGTCCTATTTTCGGTTGGCAATGGTTTGTCCCCGGACTCGATACCACCAGCCCCACGGGATCACCCATCCACACCAGATTTGGGGATTCGCGGGGTAGATGGACTATAAATGAAGCACTATGCCTTGGTTGGCAGAATATGCCGCGGGCTAAACTACCCTAATGAGCAAGGCACCATGGCGTAGTTTACCAACCATGTCCAAGTGGGCAAAGTATTCCGCATCAGCGCAAGTGAGTAAAGCGAGCGGGGTGCAGATCAGGGCAGTGTACGGTAGTGTTTCGGCGGTCTAGTGCTGTCGGCGAGAAATGACCAAATTCGTCTTGGTCAGCGGCTCCAACTTGCAATGCCAAGCATGGACATATAAACAAGTCCTCGATGATTCGACAATTGCTCAACGTATCGGTCCCAAATTGGCGACGTTCTGAACCCCATTCAAACGCCCCATTAAGCAATGTGACGTTTTCTCGATTTCATATTCACCAATCTCCTCATGATGTGAGCATGTTAGCCAGAATTGCCCATCGCCATGTTCGTATTGGGCTCCAAATTTGCTCCATTGCCCCATTGTGGCCGCTGGCAGACTCTGCTGGTATGTCATAAACATTCGCCTAAGGTTAGGCCTTCTAGTCTCGCGACAGTTGTGGGGCACAGTGACCACTGATGGCTCATTTGTTATGGAGCTTTTATGCTTGATTCAGGTCGTACTGCTCGAATGCGTCAAGGCTGCTCTCTTCTCTAGGCCGCGTATTTCTCATCCTCGACAACAGTATCATGGATCTTGTGCTAATCAACCCCGACATCCCAACAGAATCCTCAGCCGCACCTGCCTGGTGATGCTCCAGGCCGAGACCCCGTCTGCGAGGCGCAAGGTGGGTGGCTCATCGGGGGCCACCTTATTAGGTAGCACTACGTAAATGAAGGTAGAGTCTTATTTGCGTGCCGATTCTTTTAACGTGGATCATACAATTCACAGAAGACAATCCCGAGAAGTCAAATCTTGATGGTCCGTTACTATCGAAATTCATGTCAAAACTCATTACACTATTGATTTCCTTGGGTTCAAACATGCTCCTGCTCGATTATACACCAACAGCGTGTCAAACGCCCATGAACTTGATGAATTGAAGATATTTCGACATGGCAAGGTATATCACCCTAGTTGCGGCTGAATCAACGAATATGGTTCACGCAGAAAAGACAAGGGAAATCAAGGGAAAATCCAAACAGTAAAGTAAAGCAATTCATTGCTATGGAGATTGTTAAAGCGAAACTCTAGCTACCGTAATCTATTCCCCAATAACTTAGGGGGTAGGCAAGCTTTCGGGCACGCAGGACTTGCCCGGTCCACGCGCAATTGGTTTAGTTGCATGGTCGTGTTCCTTCACGCGACGGTCGCATCAGGACCCGCTCTTCAGACCGACCATACGGACCTCAAGTCCGGACCCAGGCACGCATTTGATTGTCGGAGTACTTGCAATCAAGGGTAATTCACGGTCTGTTGGAGTGAAATGAGCCCGTTGGTTGCGGCCGCTAGAGTTTCGCAACTGAACACCATACCCATACAATCACCTTTTTGTCGCACTGACGAGGAAAGTACCCATCACAAACCACCTGCCCGGATATTGAATAGAGAACCCGCTGGCATGTGCCTTCATTGCTGCATAACGTCAGTCCAGTTATCTTTACTAGCGCCTTCCTTCGCTCCTCACTCTGCAACTTGGCTCAGGGTCGACAAGATATCGTAATGTGAAATCACAGAGGCCACACCAAGCACGAGAGCTCCAGTGCGCACTTTCCATAATTGAAACTCAGCGCACCGTCAGTGTCCCCGCCACTTGGTATAGAACCAATGGCTGCCAACGATGCTGCAACACCAGCTTTTGCTAGATGAACATGGGCTCGCATGGTCGAGGGAATTTGAACAGCTGGAATCTATTTGACATGTCACGTAACATGGCTTTTGCGGCCAAGAGTATCCCGTAAATGAAGAAAAGGTGACCATGCAATGTACAACTTAGAATGAAGTTGAGCATCTGGTGGCGATGATCGACCTTGGTGGCGGCGATGCTACAGTACTTTGAATTTGTCCATGTGACCCACTACCTCGAGATAATTCAGATCTGCACAGTCAGCCACATTGTATATGTCATGGCAGGCACACTCGTACATCTGGGCCCGGACTGCATCTCCGAGTCGAAGCTGCTAGGAGCTTTAGGCAAGGCAATATAAAGGTAGACTCGCGAGGAAAGCACTTACCGCATCACATGAGTCATCTCAAGGACTTCTTTCTCTCATTGTTTAACAGTTACTGGAAAAAAGACTGAGAATGCGCTGCTGCCTTGTTGTTTGAGGAAGTCGATGGGCGGTGAAGCTGGAGAGCGGCAGAAAAAGAGCCGAATACTTCATGCAGAGAATGGTCAACTGATGCCAGGCACTTTCCCAGCAGATCTCATCGTGGTGTATCTCTTGTATTTACTCTGTCTTGATTGGGAAATTCCGTAGTATCAATGGAAGGAGTGATAAGTGCGACTGCCTCGGGATCAAAAGCGAGTGCGCAAGGAACTTGACTACAAAAAGTTGTCCAGTTCCCAAAGATCTTTTTCTCTTCCTTTTCATTCATTATCATCACAGTCGTCATCATGAACAACAACATTAAAATCATAATCATCATCTTCTTCTCCCTCCCTCACAGTGGCAATGCAGATGCATCATCATCATCATCTTCTTCTTTCTCTTCCTGACTTCATTCATTCGGATTGGCCATAAATACAAGGTAAGTTCAAGTCTTCTCTTCTTCTTTTTTGTTTTCTTGTCTTCTAATATGTGGTTTAGACGATCACCGGCGCTACTGATGCCCCTACCGGCGGTGGTGCAGGAAGAGACCGGTTTGGTAGAGACCGGACATGCTACTACTGCAAGCGACCAGGCCACACTATCCGGTTCTGTCGCCTCCGACGCCGCAACAACCGGCGGGGCCGTGGTGGGGCCCAGAACAACTGTAAGTCCAACCCTACCTTTGAGTTTGCCTACACATACTATTGATACATACATTACTAAGATATGCATTCAACTAATTAACTATATAGATCACATTGGCACTATCCATGAAGGGTTTTCCGGTGTGATCATCCTGGGCCAGCCCTCGCCGGGCATGGCGGGCGGCGCCGCCACCGCTGCCGCTGCCGCTGCTCCCACCAGAGCAGAAGAAGATGAGAACATTGAAATTGAAGAAATGGAGTAGGGGGGTGCTGGAGAAGGGGGGGGGGGGGGGGGCACAGAGATGGGAATCTGTCGTACTGACGTAGTCATTACCCACCGCAGATCACCTGCGTAGGTATATAGTCGCTCTTCAGCACCTCTCTTTTGTAGACTAGAGATCAACTCAGACAACTTTCAATGCTTCCTCGATCATCTCGTCTTCAGTTCCCCCTTCACACATCAGCTCAGGTGAGATCATCCCAGGCACAAACCCGGGGCATCAAACTACGGTCCCGTGGTTCAGGCTTTTGCAATCCACCTATGCCCGCCAGGCACGTTCGTCTGGCGTAGCTGATTTTGACTGTTGTAGATTCACCGACACGCTTCCCATTTGAAATTAGCATCGAATCACGGATGATCCAACAAAGAGCTCTTCGGTCATGGCGACGGTCTGAAACAATTGCGGGAACGATCAGTTTTGCTAGTGACTGGTCGGATACAGGCGGTGAGGGCTGGGCTCGGGGCCGTCGGGCAGTAGGATGAGTGGTAGCAATCATCAAGTCAGAAGAGTTGCATAGTTGAAAGCCCATAATAATGCAAGTTTCGCCACATTAATCATCCTCTGAAAGTGTTCTTCTAGCCTCAACCATGTGAAGGACATGCCTTGAGCTACCACCGCATTGATGAATAGGGTGCTGAATATCTAGGTCGGCCGGTACATCAGGTAAGCAATTGTCATCGAACTTATATGTTCTACACTGGGATAACCATGACATATCCAACAGTGCCGGGGTAAATTAGCATGAGAGGATATTGGTCAGATTATGGTCGTAGCCTGAAGCGAACACATAGTAGAAACGTCCTGGGGCCTGGATGACGCTGATGTATGAGAGTGTGAGAAAAACATGCTCTTGACTGCATACCTGGAGCATAGGAGAGCCGCATGCGATGATCTTTGCCGAGTTCGGCGACAGAGCCGCGTCTCCAAGATTCTTTTTCGCCTTTTGCAAAAGTACTGACACCGCCAGCTGAGATAGACTTATGTTCAGATTGTATTGGCAGAATTGAAAGACAGCAACGCAAAAGAAACATAAAAGAAAAAGGAAAAGGAATTCATTCAAGCTATAGGTTCTGGCGAAATATCAAAATCAATCACGCGCATTAATTGAACAACTTTTCACTATACTGATGCTACAAACGCTAAATGAATCCTACCGGCGTATCTGATCCGGCACTGGTGGGGATGCCGTATCTGGAAGGCGCTTGGTATTTGGGATTGGCCCCATGCAGCATTTTAGCCCCATCCGACACACTGCCATGTTGGCGTTCAGTGGTCAAAGCAGTGGCTCTACTAAGTCAGGGCTTGCCGGACCCCAACCGTGACCAATCCTTGTTCGACACAGACGTCAGAGCCGAGCTTCTCGTCAACCTTTGTGTTGCCAAGAAGTATAATCCCCCTAAGCACCGCAAAGCTGGATAGACGGCATATGTCCGGGCGCGACTGGACAAGTCCCAAGATGCCGTCGTCCTAGACTGGCTCGATATTAAAGGCATGTGGGTGCCTTATAAGTTCATCGACTTTGAAACGGAGAATGGCAAGCCCGACGACGATATCATTGCCCAAGCCTACCGCAAGGCAGACACCGCCTGGGTAAAGGCTTGCGACGCGTAGAATGCAAAACTTTGCGTCTATTTGTATCGCAAGACAATTTGGAACAGCTGCCACGAGAATGAGTGGTCGGCGCTTCGCGAGAAGCAGACGCCTTACACGGCGCAGCACTTTGTAAAGGCTCCACGCATCATCAAGAGATTAGATAACATTGCACATGTCCATGCTGCTCGTGCTCTGCTTGTCAATCGTGCACCGATATACGGCCGAGAAGGCCGCATCGCCCCCAGGCTGCGTTTGATATCTGAAGATTACCTAGCATGAGATCTACCTAGACACCTACCTCACCTGCTCATGGCCACTGGGATTTCTTCCATACCGTCCAATAGTCTTAAATGTGATGTAATGTCTGCTGCAGTTGGTGTCAGGCTCTTCATGCAGCGCCATCCAGTCTTCCGGGTACAGAAATCCTTCAGACATCATGATTTCGCTACCGAGGTAAGATGAAATACCGAAAATTCATTCGATTAGTGATACAAATAAATCTCATCAAGTGTCCACGTAGTACAAATGCATGTGTGCAGAGTTGATGCTGACCACAATAAGAGGTGATTGATAGGTAGTTTAATGGCGCTGTGTGTGGAACAATCATCTCCTGATGCGGTTAACAAAGTCTTCAACACAATTACACAATATACCATTGGCATTACCCAAGAAGATCTACGGATGCGAGGCTGAACTTGGTTGTTCCGCTCCGCCAGGATCAAACAATGTGCTGCACCATTTGCAATGCCTGATTGGGCGACATAGTTTTATTGCCTGCACCTCTCTGGATTCGGCAACACTATGGGGCATCATATGTAACCTTGTTTGTATTTCGATCCTAACTACCGGCCCGTCGCTGACATGCATAATTGTCTACCAGTCAGTTCTGACGAACTTTACCATGTGCGAGTCGAGTTTGGGCGAGGCTCTGACATTGGGTGCATGCATGCATGTAGTCCCTTCGGTAAGGCTGGCGGGTCTTGAGACAAGGCGGCTTTGGGACGGCACTTTTGGCATGCAAGTGCCATGCCCCAGCCTACGAGTAGGTTGGGTTCCATTGTAGTTATAAAACCAAATAGTGCTGGAAAATTTTCTAAACCGCCTTGAGAAGCTCTGCCGGATTTTAGTGCACGCATTTCGTTTTACTGCGGTCAAACGGAACTTGTTTCCACTGGATAACCCTTCCGAGGCGAATCCCTCACGTATTCGAAATGTCCAACGCGGACCCGTTTCTCATTGCCGCCGTTGGGCCGCCGCCACCGGGGATTGACTTGGCGGAGGATCACAGGACTGGGGGTATCGTCTTGACTGTAATACTACTCCTCTTCACCATCCTCATAGTTGTTTTGAGATTTACCGCCAAAGGAGGCAATGGTGCTCGCCTACATGCAGATGACTATACTATTCTGGTAGCTCTGGTACGTTTTGTTCTTATCAACTGTGCATTGATACTTATTTCTCATTCACGTCAAGGTAATGTGCGTTGCCATGGCTTGCATCAATATTATGGGTATGTTTTTCAGAACTCCATGACCTCAGCCAGTACATACTCAAATCTTTAGCCGGTCAGGCCGGAGCAGGGCTTCATGTCTGGGCCGTAACTAAAGACATGCTCAATTCCGTCGCCAAAGTTTGTTGTCCCTACCTCGGTCCTCTGTATAGAGTCAACACTAACATATGTTGTTCAACACGTCAGATAACTTTCGTGTGTGCATTCTTCTGGATATCGGCCGTATCCATCACAAAGCTTTCAATCCTGCTGCTTTATCGTCGGCTTTTTGCCGCCAATAGAACACGATTTCGAATGTGGATCGACTTTCTCGGGGTTGTTGTTGTCTGTCATATGATGGTCATTATCGTCGTCAATTTGATAGCCTGCCGACCTTTAACATACGTGTGGAGTCGTTATACTCCTGGCGCACGCGGTACTTGTATCAACCAGCCCGCATATGGGCTCATCAGGAGTATCACCAATGCGTGTCTTGATATTGTCGTTCTTGCAACGCCTATTCCCAGTATTTGGAAACTCCAAGTTTCCGTCAAGAGAAGATTGGTGATTTGTGGCATGATGCTACTGGGCGGCATGTCAGTTGCCTCTACCCCCCATGTGTATGAATATGCACTAATCCTTTGTTCTCAGAGTCTGCATCGCATCTTGGATACGTGTTTACTATATCTATCGAGGAACAAAAACAATCGACTCGACCTGGGTGGGCGGGAAAATCGCCACAATGTCATTCATCGAAACCTCTCTGGGCATTGTGTCTGCCTGTTTGCCGGTTATGCGACCCTTGTTTTTGAAGCTTCAGAGGAATTACAAGCTATACATACTGTCCCGCAAAACATCTCAAGGCGACTCGAGCGCATCCGTCACTGCACCTGCATCTGCGCCTAAAGTCAGCCACCACGGGCACGAAGACACCATCAATCTCACGACTATCATTTCAGGAAGCGATTCGTCTGAGAGACAGGATTGCGATAGGGTTGTTGTGCGTTCTGAAATACGACAAGCAGAAGCTTTCGTATAACAAGGGACAGGTATAAGCTTTTTTTTTTGGTCCATCAAGCAATATCTACGGCTTGTCATAGCAAAGCTTCAAGAGTTTTAATTTAATTTCTTTCCAACTGATTCATAGTATTCTGGAAGAGTTTGCGAGATTGTTTTTATATCGTTTTCTTCTGGAATACTCAATATTGCCTTGCATGCATGGACGCCCGTCTGTGTGGGGCACTCGCTTGTTTGCTTACATGCAGGACGGACCGCCGATGGACGTGCTGCCTGTAGTTGCATTACCCTGGATTGGTTGTCTTGACGTTCCCAAAAGATTTCACCGTTATGCTCATGTTTCCTCCTTCCTGATCTCGTCAACACCTTTGAGCTCGTTGAATCGCGAAACTATGGCCCGACTTTCGACTTCTTTGGCCATTCTAATTGGCGTCTTGTCGTCCATCATCTACCTGGTGGATCGCAACCTCGACTCTTTCTACATTTTCAAAACGGACCATCTCCACGACCTGGCCAAACGCGGTATTGCTGCACATGGCAATGATACGCGCGCCATTGTCGACTATATTACGACTGAGCTGCACGAGATGTATCCCAAGCATGTCAACATGAAGCAGGAGTGGTTTTTCAACAATCATGGCGGTGCCATGGGATCCATGTTCATCATTCACGCCAGTCGGTGTCCCTCTCTGCCCACGCCTCGTCACCGCGGTCCTCTACTCAATTCATGACTAATTCTGATTTTACAGGCATAACCGAATACCTCATCATCTATGGCTCTGCCGTTGGCACCGACGGCCACTCGGGACGACACACGGCCGACGACTATTTCCACATTCTGACCGGCGAGGAGTGGGCGTACAAGGCGGGCGAGTACACGCCCGAGATCTATCCTGCGGGCAGCGTGCACCACCTCGAGCGCGGCACCGTCAAGCAGTACAAGATCCCCGAGCACTGCTTTGCCCTCGAGTATGCGCGCGGCTGGATCCCGCCCATGATGTTTTTTGGTTTTGGCGATTCCCTAACCAGCACCCTCGACTTTCCGACCATGTGGACCACGACCGCTGTCACCGCGCGCGAGATGGTTGGCAATTTGCTGGTTGGCAAGTTTTGAGCGAAGCAAAAGAAACATGAAGAGAAGAGAGGTGGGAATTGGAGATGTTTAGAGGCTTGTGTATCGACACTGCGAGATGCGGTCATCTACACTTGAAGTGGTAACATGCATCCGCCGCTAAAAGTGCAAGGTACTAGGTTAGAGGTATCCATATAGTGGCTGCTACATCGGAGGCAGACCGCTGTCGGTACCGGCCTAACCCACTATAACTGGCCTCCGCAGTGGTGGGACTGCCCTATGGCACAGCTTAAATCCAGCCCATGTTCAGCGCTTCTAGCTCACTTCTAGTTCTATGATCATGGAGCTTTTTGTTCCGTACTGAAATGGACAAAGTTTTGCACAACCATATCTTCATGTTAATACATGCAAGTACAAGGTCAAACGTGTCTTTGAGTGAATCCCTGGAGGTACTCAGGTTGTTTACATGTATCAGCGAATATATGACAATCGACAGACGATTACTCCTTTTTGGCACAATCAGTGGCTGCAATGTACGCAAACGTCAGCCCAGGTCCTAGCGTCGCGCCAGCTCCTGCGTAGCTTCTGCCCATAACACTTGCAGACGAATTGCCGACAGCATACAGACCCGGAATCGTCTCATAACCACCGCGTCGTGTTTCCCTCAGTGCCCGAGCTCGGTCATCCGTCAAAACGCCACCCTTTGTGCCTAGATCGCCTGGCCATATTCTGGATGCATAAAATGGACCTTTTTCAATCTTGCCGAGATTTCGATTCGGGGAATATGACGGATCTCCCAAGAAATAGTCATAGACGCTGCTTCCTCGACTAAAGTCTTGATCAACCCCAGCCTCCACGAAGCCATTGAAACGGCCAACCGTCTCTGTCAAACCAGCAGCATTGATCCCCAGCCGTGTCGCGAGTTCCTCCAATGTGTTTCCCTTTGTAATGAACCCAGACTTGATGGCCTCGTCCGGAATCTCAGCACCTGGCATATATCTCCCAGCAAAGAGATACCGCTTCCTGTGCGTCGAGTCCAGAATCAGATATGCAGGTATAGTATCAATGGTTTCATGTCGCTTCAATATTGCCGTCCCCATGGAATTGTAGTTTTGTGACTCGTTGGCAAAGCGCTTGCCCTCCTTGTCGACAATGATGGAATGCGGCAGGCCGCGATCATATAAACTCCAGATGCCATTCTTGGTGACGGGGTCCCAAAGAGCGGCACCCCACCATGCAGAGTCCATGAGGGCGGTGGCCGCGCCGATTTTCATGGCCGCGGCAATGGGCTCTCCCATATCCGTGGGGCATGTGGAGGTCCAGTCGGTCGTGATGCCTGGCTGCTGGAACTTTTCGCGCATCTCCTTGTTTCTGGCAAAGCCACCGGCTGCGAGAATGACACCGTGGGATGCCTCTACCGCAATGGTCTTGCCTTCGCGCTCAATGATTGCTCCCGTCACGCGGCCATCCTTGACCGTTAGTTCCTTCATGGGCGACTGTGTCAGGATGGGTGTGCCGGCCCGCACGTTTAGATAGATGAGCTGGCTAATCATGGATACGCCAAGAGTCGTGGGCTCGCTACCAAAGAGTCTGTTCCAATAAGGGCGGACGGCGAATATCTTGGCGGCCGTCCACATGCCTTCTACAGAACATTTGGCGCGCACGATTTTCGACAGCTCGTACGTGAAGAGCGGCAGCGGAGGGCGTACCGGATTGATGTTGAGCTTTTCCTTCCACGGGCCAATCAGATTGATATCAAAACTGTTAGCCTCAATTGTACGCCCACCAACTTGAGCGCCTTCATTGTACGGAAAGTAGTCTGGATATGCTGGTGTGGGAGTCCATCGGTAGCCCTGATCTTCGAGCCATTTGACCATCTTGGGTCCGTTTTCCAAGAATGCAGTCTTGCGCTCGGGCGATGAGGCCGGTCCAACATCTTTGGTGATGGTTTCCATGTACGTCCGCGCCTTTTCTACACTGTCCCTCTGGTCCGCGTGAATATGTGAGTTTGGGATCCAGCAGCCAGATCCTGAATAGCAGGATGTTCCGCCAATCTTGTCACTCTTTTCGACAACCAGTGCCGAGAGTCCGAGTGACTTTGCCCGCAAAGCAGCCGTCAGGGCAGCACCCCCAGAACCAACAACAAGGACGTCGGTTTTGATAACGCCATCGCCTGATGCCGAGACCGATTTCGCATTCGTGGCTGGATCGTCCGTGAGGCGCCTGTTATGTCGGGCGCTTCTAGTTGATAATATCACGGCTCCGACTCCGCCCGACAAGGCCAACGCAATGCGAACCCCTCTTTTACGTAGCAAAGAAGTTGACTGCGACATGGCTTGATTTTTGATACCCGAATCTAATTGATTTATTCTCTGGGGACAGAAGTGTTCATGTACGAAACCCCACAGCTACTACAAAAGGCCGGCAACGTACGGGACGGGCCTACGTACACGTTATCTTTATCATTTTGTTTTTTCGAGCCAGTGCAACTTTTCGGAAATCTCTAGCCATGATGCATCCCAAATGCTCGGGTCAGACATTGCACTTGGACGACGGACGCGGGTAATAATATCCAACTGTTCCTCCGCATGCCCCGCAGCTCCGATCCTGGCACGGCCGAGGTCGTCAACCATGGCACACATTAGCAGTCTTAGTGTCCGGTCAGCACCAAGTTTTCACAACGGCAATTCGTGATGTGCGATACATTTTTCAAAATACTTGAAGAGGACCACCAGGAGAATCTGGCAGCAGAGCTATTGTCTCGTCTTTTCCCAGTTTTCACTTCAATTTTCTTGGCTATAGCCATCCGTGACTATACAAAGCTTGAATACACAGCCCATATTTTCACGCCGCATATCATTAGTACAATCATGTAATTCTTTGCAAATCCAACAACAAGTGCTTACATGGTATTTATCCTAAAGGAAACGAAACAAAGTTGCTTCGTCTTTGGTAGCGACTAGGTCCTCTAAGCTCTAATGCGCGTTTCGTTTCCAAAGTCAATGCATCGAAGACTATGACGAATGGCATTAGTGCGTAACAACCTCGGGCCGCATAATGTTGAGGCCTGTGGTAATAATGGTCGAGGCTGAGTTAACACGGGCCAGACTTTGTCCATTGGCATTAAATTCTAGTGGATATGAATAGTCGTCTTGATTGGCTACTGCCAAGTCTTGTTATCTGGGCTTCTGGTCACGAGAAGATGACAGGATCATTTTTTACCATTAGCTGATATATGAACAATAGAATTATTGTCAGCCACGTACATTTGCTTCTCGAATACTCTATTCTCTCTTAATCGGTTTGATGGGTAGGATGATGCGAGCTTACTCTGGCCCGTGTCATTTGCACGCCACCCGCGGAGATGTCTCAAGCCTTGCGACCTTGCTTATGATTCATCTCGAATCACTTTCCAAATTCCCAGCATCTCTTGCAAAGAGTTATGACAGACTGGCAGACGCTTGGATCATGCACTGGGTAGGTATAAATTCAAACTCAAGCCCGGACATAATCCAGTCACTCTTCAAGCTGACGTACTAATTCCCATAACTTTGCACCCTCAATAGCTTGAAGATGATCCCAACCAACATATTTCCACTTATAATTGCTTCCCTCTCGACCGCTGTGCAGGGGACAACCGTAAACGTTCAACACAGGGCACCGCCGGTTCCCACTCCTAGCTTTTTCGTGCCAGGCGTCAAGTGGCAAATTGAAATTGACACTGCCGTTGATACAGAGGGCACAACACCAATCGTTCCCCAGGACGCAAAAGTCTGGGATGTCAATCTTTACGATGAGACTGACAAGGATACTACTGAGAACCCGCCGGATGAGAATGGAATTGCCAGATTGAGAGTAAGCAAGCTTATTTCAAGACATACCATTGCCCAGGAGGATGTGGGCTAATTAAGGTGGGAATTCAGGCAGTACAGGATGGAACAATCTTTGTCATTTGCTACTTCAACGCTGGTGGCGTCGAACCTGCAGACGAGGAGAACCCTTCCAGACTTCCCGACAGCGTCATACTTGGGGATATTCCCCTCTGGCTGGGCGAGCACTACATTGACATTACCAGCGACATTGTTCTCAACTTCTCCAAGGCCATTATTGACCGCGGTGTGGCCGGGGGCTGCGATGCATTTGACCCGGACAATATTGACGGGTACCAGGAGCCGACCTTGGTCCAGCGCAAGAGTGACGGCCACGTTCTCAACGAGACAGACTATTACAACTATGTCAAGGCCATATCGGATTACGCTCACTCCAAGGACAAGCTCATTGGCCAAAAGAATGCCCCGGAACTGCTCGACCTTTCAACATTTGACGGGACTAGTCGCGGACTGCTCAAGGACGGAATCACCGACTTTGCCGTGACTGAGAGTTGCTCTGGCAAGAACGGCGAAGCACCGTGGTGTGAGCTCATGTCCGTCTATGTCGAAGCGAATAAGCCCGTCTTGCAGATCGAGTACCCCAGCGAGTGGGATGGAACGTGCACTCCGACAGCACTTTCCAATACGGCCAATTATTGCAATTTAGAGGGCGCGAGCGGATTTAGTACCATATTGAAGCTCGATGGAGATGACTGCGGCTTGGATGGGTACACCCAGTACTGTGGTATGACGCAGCTGGTGATTACTCCTACAGAGTCTTGACACAGACAAGGGCTGGAGAGGAGAGGTTGGCAGACGGGATGGTAGCCGACCGATGAGAATTTTACCAGACTGCTAAGAGGACTTTCCCCCCCGGCTGTCGCTGATTCTTGTGGTTTCTCATCAGTACGAGAATAAATTAAAGAGAAAACAAGACGGGACAAGACGATGCCTTATTATTGAAGCTTTGTGTTAAATTGAACTCAACTAATACAACTATTGCACCAAACCTATTATAACCTTTTGCAATCCCATCTTCATCAATCTATTAGATTGTATCTTCGTGCATTGCACGAGCCATCCACTCAGCATCCTGATTTTCCAGGGAATCTACCAGGGCTAGGATCTGCTCCGCTGTGAACTCATCTCCAAATACATTCATACCAACAACATCTTGCTGTGGAAGTGATATCTCGGGACAAGCAGATTCACTGGCCTGTGACAAAAACTCAGAAACCCCAGATCCTTGAGTCGATGGATGCAAACGGTTTGGAACGTGGTCAGTGGAGTCCCGAGAAGTCGCCTCTGCACACGTCGCGGTCCGAGATTCCGCAGGCGACAAGCACGCTACCAATTCATTCAAGAGCTGCATATCAGCTTTTCGGTGGCTGGCAACAAGGTTTCCCGCTGTGACCATTTCATCGATAAGCGCAATCGAGCGTCGGAACCACGAGGGGCGGTGGTCCCAGAACCGATCTTCTATAACCGGCATGACTAGAAGAACAGTAGCAGCAACATATTCATAATCAAGATCGAAGGATAGGAATCATTCTTCAAAACCGTTAGTCCGTGGACTCTTGTAAGATCTTGAAGTATGGAAAACTTACCCAGCAGGCCCTGGGCTTGCAAATTCTCGAGTATGTTCAGGATCTGCAAAGCCGACTCGACGCATATTTTCAGTAGACTCTGGACCTTCTGGGACGTAATAAGATGCCCCAAGTCTACTTCGGCCTCGTACCGGATCTTCAAACAGCAGAAAATGATGGGACGGATCCCAAGGACAATGCACTGCCAAGTCACATGTCAGATGGTACTAGGATTAGGCTTAGAAAGCCATACCTGGTGATATAGAAGATGCAGAGAGGCAGACATCCTCGATGCCCCATTCTCGGGCTCATCAAGCTGTAATGGCTGCACCTGTTTGAGTTGGTCGGCTAGGCCGGCGATGTCCCCCAAAGCAGTTTTGGTACTCATGAGGAACTTTTCGTTCAGCCTGCCATTGACCCCATAAATGTCTAAACATGGTACAAAGTCAGTTCAGTACGATACAAAAGACAAGAAATAACTGCTATGACATACTGTTATTGATATAAGCAATTATGCGAACCAGCTTTATGTGAATATCCAATGCAGAAGTTCGGTGAGGTGATCCAGAGAATACAGGGAGGCTGCAGTGGATGGCTTCGTCTCTGATAGACTGTGGGTTACCCATCAAAGAGGTTATTTGCCGGTCCAAGATGTGAACTGTCCACCAAACCTTGCGGCAGCGCTGCACGAGGGCCTCCCCGAGATGGTGAACTGGCATATCCGTATGCATGCCGTAGCCAAAAGCCATGCGCATAGCTTGTCCAATCTAAGTCATTAGTCAACCACACTGTACGCGCTGGCTGGTCAGCAGCGAATGTCTAGAAGTCACTCACAACTATGTCAGCGGAATTCCGATAGTCAACAGACTGAAGATAAAGCGCAATAGCGCAAAGGATTTCAGTAGACAGGACAGGATCTTGGCAGAGGGATGTGACATCAGGAAGAAGCTGCATGGCTCTGGCAAAGAACTCGACGCCTGCTGGTCGCTTGCCTGAAGATTTGTAAAGAAGGGCCTTTCCAAGAGCTAGAATCAAAAGAAACTGTATATACCACAGTCCAGCCTTCTCTATACGCCTCTCAGGCTCTGCATAGAAATCATGCAGCCGGATTTTGAAGTCGTCTTCATCAAAGAGGTGGAATATCTGCCCGCAACGGAACTTGACGGCGTTCAACAGATATATGGCGTAGTCGAGACTGGGCATGACGGGAGGAGCAGGGCTGCGTTCGGAAGGCATCCTAGTCCCGCCCCAGCCCAGATCGTAGGCGGTTCCGTCAAATAGAATGGAATTAGCCGGCAGCGGCGTCTGGAACAGATGCTCATGTGTCATGTGCAGTATGCGCCCGGTGAAAGACCAGTTTGATGACGTTCCAAGATAGACTGCAAGGAATTTTTCAAGTTAATTCATGGCCATGCTGCATTTAGCTAGGTGTTTATAAACTGACACGTTCTTCCATTCGATGCGGACAGAAACGTCGACGGAGATGCAGCGAGTGGGTTGGTCAGCATGCTAGAGCCTTGATCTACAGTGCGCTCATGGTCGATCGAAGCACCAATTGCGGTATCGAGGGTATCATCATGCTCGTGCTCAATGTGTTGATCTAGTAAAGCTGGTTGAGCCACTGTGAATGGTGTCAATTATACTGCAGCCTTTTGATGCTATCGGGGAAAGCTAGGTGCTGAACCTACAGTTCTCGTGGCCGCTATTCCCATGTTGCCCCTGACCAACATCGCTAGGGACGGGCGCAACAGGGCCTACCGATTGCTGCTGTTGCAGTGCGCGCCCCAGACGCACAATCTGTTGCTGAAGGCCCATTATATACCTGTCTCATGTGGAGGGCAACATCAGCGCCTGAGTTCGAAGTCGCAAAAATAGCAGAGCATCATACTCTTGAGTTACTTGGACTTTGCTGCCACGATCATCAAGAACGCACTTGAGTCGTCGTTTCCTACATCCTTCGCACGGCTGTTGGCCAGAGCATTTAATCTTTTGTCGTCGGCATCGCGTACAGCTACAGCGACGGTGGGGGACATTAGCACGTAAACCGACTAACAAGAGCTGGGGGATATTCACGCATAGGATGTCCGCTTCACCACCCGCTTTTGACTGCTGGACGCTTCCATCATGAGAAGAAAATAACTTCTAGTCCTCCTCTACTTCGTAATACCTCAATTTTTGCCCAATGTAGAGAAGACAGCGGTGGACTGCCAATGAGCTAGTCAACGAGGGAGTTTTCATGGTGGTATAGGTAAGGGGTTGCTGGACTGCTACCTGGAGCGCTAATAAAGTCTCCATAGGGTGCTGGCACAGGGAAAAGACAACCTCATTAGCGCCAAAGCCGCCCTACAGTCGGCCTACGATATAGTCACTTCCAAGTCTGATAAGGACATTGGGCCCCTGGCCTAATACAGTCTAGGGCCCCCAACCTTGGTTCGAGTTGAGCGCAGTCTAGGTACCGTTGATCATATTCGAGTTTGACACTCAATGTTCCGGTCTACGGAGCAGCGGTAGGTCGCGCGGGGTCAGCTTCTGTGTGCATCCCCACTGCACTAATTTAAAAGTCTTCTAGCCATAGATATGGTTATTATATTTGTCTTGTTGTGTTCGGCAAACAAGCCGAAGAGCTTATCAATCTCTGCTTCACGGTGCCTGGACCCGCTAGAAACTTCATAGAAGATCCTATGTAGAACCAGAAGGCTGTTCGCACCTGATAATGATGCTACCTTGATGGGCTGGTTATCATCAATATTGTCGAGTACATCGCCCCTCCACTACTCATTCGTTCCCGTCTGCTTGAATTGACCATTATCTACCATTTTCTTTTACCGCCGTGAATATTGAAGGCATTTTCAACACCTTTAGAGTTCAATAACAATGTCTCATTCTCCAGCCAACGATGCTCAAGATTTCGGAAGATTCTTGGTCAAGGGCGATGCTCAGGGAGAGATAGTCTCTACCAATGTCCCACTCAGTTTCATGATGGGTGTCAACGCCCAGAGCGGGTTGATTCAAGACGAACATCATCCGCTACGAGGTACCTCAATTCAAAACAAGATACTCGTCGTACCGCGAGGCAGGGGATCGTGCAGTGGAAGTGGTGTGATTATCGAAATGCTTGTCAATGGTAGCGCCCCGGCAGCATTCATTTTCCACGCTCGTGAGGACATCCTGACGTTGGGCGTCGTCTTAGCCGGTACCATGTTCTCAAAGTCCATCCCTGTTGTGATGGTAGAAGACGAGCAAACATGGGCTTCTCTTTTAATGGGCGGTATGGCACATATCAGCACTGATGGATATCTTGACATCAACGACGATACGCGCGTGCATTTGCGAAACCCTCCAGATACCAGCCAGGTAGCGCTCTCGCCAGAGGACGACAACATGTTGTGTGGTCAAGGTTGCAGTGCTGCTACAAAGTTGGCAATGCAGACCATTGTCAGCTTTGCTGCCATCCAAGGAGCTGCATCCCTCATCAGCGTTTCTCAGGTCCATATTGATGCCTGTTGCTATGCAGGGAAAGTTAGTCTTGCAATTCCTCAGCGCCTTCGAGAACTCGGCGGTGAGTTCGCGGTACCGACCACCTGTAACTCACTAGACGTGGACCGTCGGCGTTGGAGAGAGCTGAAGGCGGACCCGGAGCTTTCAGAAGCTTCTTACGCCATAGGAGACCATTACTTGGCAATGGGTGCTCAGATGAGCTTCACCTGTGCACCATATCTGTTAGACACGAAACCAAAGATTGGCGAGCAAGTCGGCTGGGGAGAGTCCAATGCGGTTGTTTTCGCTAATAGTGTGCTTGGGGCCCGTACTCATAAATACCCAGACTATCTCGAAGTCATGGTGGCGCTGACGGGAAGGGCCCCCTACACGGGCTGTCATCTACTGGAGGAACGAGCCCCAAAGATTGGCATCCATGTTCCACCCATATTCACCAATGAGGTTGATGAGTCAGTATTCCCGCTTTTGGGATACCACATCGGTGGGCTTGTTGGGTCGAGTATCCCGATCATTTACGGCCTCGAGACATCAAAGCCCATAACTCCTGATCTCAAAGCCTTTGGAGCTGGTTTCGCCACGACATCGTCTGCCCCCATGTTTCACATCAGAGGCATAACTCCAGAGGCTGCCAACTATGATGACGAGATACGGGAGGTCGAGTGGGTCAATGTCAAGATCAAAGATCTCCAAATCACTTGGCATGAATTAAACACGGCTAGGGATCCTTCTGCTGATCTTATATCCCTTGGAAACCCGCACTTCACTCTCGAGGAATTCTCAACACTTGCAAATCTTGTTCGGGGTAAGAAGATCCGAAAGGGCATTGTCATGATCATCACAACCGGCCGATCAATCTATGATCAAGCTGAGCGCGCGGGGTACATTGGCGAAATTCAACGTTTTGGGGCGTCGTTGATCACAGATACATGTTGGTGCCTGTTAACGGAGCCAATTATTCCCCTCAAAGCACAAAACATCATGACGAACTCTTCCAAATATGCCCACTATGGTCCCGGAATATCGCGGCGCCGGTTCCATTTTGGAAGTCTAGCTGGATGCGTCGAGGTTGCTTGCTTCGGCTTCCGCTCTGCAGCAAACTTGCGTCCACCTTGGCTTTTTGACGAGTAGGACCGATCTTCACGCAGTATCTCTCGGGAAGGAAGCAGGAATGAATGAAAGTTTCTAGTCCAAGTAGTCTACTCACCTATGTAGTCACAAGAAAAAGAAATTATTGGTTGTCCGCACCTGTGCTATGTATTATTGTCCTTTGAACCAGAGTCTTTAGCTGAGCAGAGACCTTCTCAACGTCTTTCCCTCATTCAATCATTGAATTTCACAAAACTGACTGGGTATTTGAAAGCACATTTCGGTTCTCATATCCAAACGCTGGTGCCTAGGGTTTGAGATGCGACGTCATGAACATCACCTGATCAGACGGCTCCAGGAGTAGCCTCTACATAATTCTAGCAGGCGAACCGGTCAAAATACACTATCGGCTGGATACTCTAAACAAGGTCAGGCCAAAGGTGGACGTCTTTCGTAATACCGATTTGTAGATTGTCGGTACGCCATCACCTAAACGAAAAGATATTCTATCCGGCGACACCTGGTTGAAGGGCAGCATTTGTGGACCAAGGAAGTACGCTACCGGTAGCGTACTTGATAGGTTTATAGTAATGCTACCCATGTATGCTACCATATTACTCAAGCTTCTGCCGGCACTCGCTTCTTTGTGCTATCTCAGCCAAACCCACATGAGATAACCGGTGCCGTCATCCGGTCGTCTACCGCGGTGGTTTCCTCGATGCGCACAGCTACTATGTAAGCGCCGTAAGCGCCAAAGGGACTTCACTAGCTTGAGAGGTGGCTCGACGGTCATGGATGCGATTCGTTGCGGCTGCCTGTTTCAGGACCCCCACGCCCAATGGTCAACCACAATAGCAACCACTGACGAATCGATAGTATCAATCTCGAAGCTTCACTTGGATAGATAGAAAGAGTGATAATACTGGTTACTACCTGGTACCATCGTCTGGCTGTAGGCACGGATACGTAGAAACGCTACGGCGCTGACCTCCGATCTTGTGGGGCGATGTGTTGACGTGGAGAAGCATTCCGCTGCTCGGCTCCGAGCCGCCTCGGGGTATTGGATCGCCGGGCTCGACACCCCGGTCACAAGCGGCGCTGTAGCGATGCATGTCATAACTGATTTATGGCTTGTTTTGTCGACGACGCCAAGAGCAGCTTGAGAACAACGAGCATAGAAGGCCAATTTTCGAACGCGATACTACCATGGCGGACCTCAACATTCTGGGCAATTCCCAGGTGCACGACCTGTTGATTGGGCTTAGCAGGAGCGACATTCAGTCGATAAAGAATGAGATTGGCGAGTCGCTGATCCAATTCTCGACTGGGCCGGAGGAAGCTTATCAGCCTGAGCCCGGTATTGTTGTCAGGCCAGATGGGCAAAAGGTTCTGTTCAGACCATTCACTTCAGTAGAGAGGGTCGGAGTCAAAGTCATCGTTGAGCCTCCCTCCAGATCTGCATCAGCACCGGCCAATCTACAAACATTAGGAGGCCAGCCCTCAGCGCTGGCGCCAATACGCGGCCTTCTTGCTGTATGTGACAAAGATGGCCGAGCAGTCGGAGTGATCAATGCAGAAGAGGTTACTGGATACCGAACGTCCTTAAGCGCCATGATTATGTATATGGAAAGGCTCAAGACCGACAACATTGTGGTGTTCGGAGCTGGCATGCAAGCACTGTGGCACATTCGACTGGCTCTAGCACTGAGAGGTGATGAGATCAAGAGAATTCACGTCATCAACCGCTCCCCTAGCAGAGCAGAGGCTACAGTCAAGAAACTTCGGGAAGAAAACCAGCATCGGTGGAAGTCATGTGCGAAAATTGATTTTCTGGCTTCAACGCACAAAAAGTACGAATCCGAGTTGGAAAGACTTACTGGAGAAGCCGACGCGATATTCTGCACTATACCGTCCGGGAAGCCTCATTTCCCCGCCAGCTACATCAAGTTGGACGAAACAAACACGAAAGGACCATACATCTCGGCTATCGGCTCATGGCAGCCTGGAATGATCGAGCTAGACCCCAGCCTGATGCGCCGCGCAGCCGAAGCCAGTATACGTTACCATCTTCCTGGTCATCCCGAGGGCGCGGTCATTGTCGACGATCGTAAATGTTGTCTGTTACATACAGACGAGCTGATTCAGAGCAAACTCCATGGGCGACAAACCATTGCGGTGGGCGAGATCCTGCAGATGAAGCAGCGGGCTTCTGGGTGCTCTATGGACGCCTGGCTGAAGGAAGGTTTCGTCATCTACAAAAGTGTTGGTGTAGGCGTGACTGACCTGGCTGCTGGCAATGCAATCTTGTCTCTTGCTGCCAAGCACCACCTCGGCACAAAGGTCGCCAACTTCTGAGACGGGAATTATAATACTTCAAGTAACTCAAAGACTCTAGGTGCTGTACAAAATCATATAAAACTTCTTTCTTTTTTGTTAAAAAATGAACCTTATACTTTGCTATGTTTACTGCCGGCATTGTGAGCGAAGTGACCGTCGTAAGTTGTCTTGAAGGCCGGCATGAGCCGTCTACCAGGTTTTCAAAAATGACACGAAGAAAGTAATGTGGAACTACATCCAAAATCATCTGCATAAAGAGTGCCGAGGACCAAGTTCTATGTGCGATAGCCCGTCAAAGTCAACTGCTGTAACTTTCACAGCGTTACTTGCTCAAAATATGCCGGCAAATGCAAGATGCAATTGGAGATCCCTCGAGTTGGTCAAGGCAAGTAATAAAATTCAAATGAAATTAACTGATGACACATTCCGGAAGCCTCATAAACACTCCATCACCTTTCTTCTTCACTGATTCAATGTGTTTTGCTCGACCTGACCCTATTAAGAGCCTGAGTTGTCTGCACAAGTCCAAGCAGCAGTGCCCCCCAAAGCACGGTAGTCTGCGATAATGTCGCTCAGAGCACCATAAGTACCAGCAATGGTCAAGAAGGATCCAGAAACAATCACAAAAACAGCCCAACTGGCCCAAAGCATGCTTTTTGTGGTTTTCTTCTCGCCCCAGAACATGTAAAGCCACATGAAGCCCATGGGTTGCAACGACATGATGGTACCACCGACAGCGCCAACCAGAGACACGAGGCCACTCAAATTGGGGACGGCGCTGGCAATGATGTAGGCGAGGAGGGCACTGCCTACAGTGCAACCAAGCCAGGTCGCCCAATGGGTGGGCGTATTCTGCGTCAAGTGTTTAGTACCTCGTAGGAACCGCAACAAGAGGTATTTTGCAGTAAACTGAAGCCGTATTAGATCCATGACAGCATTAAAATATGACAAGAAGTGCATTACATGAATAAACAGAGTGATGCTAACGGTCAGGCCCGGCAGCGCAATTGCATAGCACACCTTTTTCATTGTTGTGCCTGCAGAGCCCAAAGCTGGAGACGAGACATATGACCCGCAATAATGGTAAACCACAATCCCGAGCGTGACATAGATTATAGTCATGATCGACTGGCAGATGAGCACAGCTCGGGTGTACATTCGAGGGTCCCGCATCTCGGCAGCAATGTTGAAAAAGGCAGGTGTTCCGGCAAAGGAGAACACAATGGTCGAGACTGCAGCAAAAGCTTCAGCTGGGCTTGGATTTGCAAAAAGAACGTAATCTGATTGCCAAGGTCCGGACTGAGGGGCAGAAGCCGGCCGATCCTGAACGCCGACAGAAATAACTAAGGCTAGGACTGATTCAAGAGTTTCAGTCAGTGGTAGTGAAATTGAGGATGAATGATCTGTATAATGCTGACCTGAAATAAGGATACTGGATATCCCAATCCAGGACAATAAGGAAATTCGTCCGAGGGTTTGGATACTCCCAAGATATGCAGCCAAAATAGCGGCAACAGCTACATACACGGCAGTACAAGTAGCATGGCTTGAGATTGCATTCAAGGCAGTCGACCAGCCTATGAAACTAGAACTTGCAGTGGTAATCCAGTCTTTTCCCCCCTAAAGTCAGTGAAAATGTTGTGTTAATTCGTAGCTTGACTCACAGATGGCGAACATGATTCCTAAGAATTCATAGCCAAACTTTCCCATAAACATTTGACCGATATCTTCAATACCATAAACATTCGGATAGCGCAACTTGAAGATACCGATGACGTAGTTGGACCAGGTGATCATGGCAGCAATGAGTACTACACATATAGTTCCCGGAATGAGGCCGAGTACAGAAAAGGTTTGCGGTATTGTCAATACTCCCAGGCCAATTTGCGTTTTCAACATGAGCACAACCGTGCCCTTCCATCCCAACTGCGAGGGTATCAGCAACTTAGACAATATTGCACAAACATGAGACATACTGCACGGTAGTTTGGACCTCCCTGTGTGATATCTCCAAAGACATCGTCATGAACAATTCCCTGAATATAGGTTCCAGGCTGCGTAGACAACGTCGGCTGGATACCGTTTTCTTCATCGTCCTTTTTTTCAGCAGCCTCTTTGGACATTGTGTTTACTGGTACAACAGAACTTGACAATAGTTCGAAGAAATGATTCTCTTCTAGTATAATCCTTAGTAAATAAAACGAGGTCGCGTAAACGTCCTTTTATGAGGAGTTTATGCACGATCCGTATTTTGGGGTGGACAAGGTTAGCGTACCGTTATCAACTCTGGGACTTGTAGTATTGCTATCACCTCTGGGGCCTGGGGTGCTGTTATCGCTTGCAGGGCCTCGAACCACGTAACCGCGCAAAAGTATATTGTCTGTACCCTGTAGTGGAATCGACCCGACACTCTAAAATTACGCGCTTATCAGAATAGATCGGCCGCTAGTTGAAGTCGAATTATTGCTTTAGTGTAGGAAACTGATCGGGGGAACCTCAGTGCGTTAGGTATAAACGAATATGTGTAGTGACTGGGGTCTATCGGCATTTAGTCCGCCGTGTTGAATTGCCTCTCAAGAATCAAGCCGCACCAACACAGGGATGCATGGTCTGAGTCCCGGGAGTCGCATACTTTTACCCGTCATTAGATGAGTCTGTATCCCGAACTCATTCTTATCAGCTCGGATCATCATCCCGGCCATTGTATTGGCTCCAATCCCCAGCTTTCATCTTATCAGTCTCTTTCAACCCATGATTGCATCACTCGTTGAACGCCCATCAGCCCTTGGACTAAAGTATATTGAATTTTTGATGGCTACTTTGGGTCCAATAGCTTCGGATAATAAATCCATTTGTAGTGACCACCAGTAGTAACATTGAGATTTCGTACAAGATTATAACAGGCTACGTCGCCGTCCTACACTGCGATCCAGTAACTGGAACTTCTTGAATCATTTCGAAACGCCGTGTCTACCACAACCGTCACTACCACCACCCTCCCGGAAACACCGGCCGTGTTTGGAGCGGATGTCCCTGAGCCAAGCAACGATCCTGTTCTTAAGGGTATTGCACGGGGCGACCGTCAAGGATTGCTTCGGCTTCGAGGGATTCCTGTTTTCACCGATCTTAACGCGAAGCGAGAATGGATTCGCCAGCACATGGCAGCTGCTTTTCGCTTTTTCGGAAAAAATGGGTACACTGAGGGAACATCAGGGCATATTTCTGTCCGAGGTAAGATGTTTTTGCCTTGCTATTCTAGAACATCGTGCTGGTGTGGGGTAGTAATCTAAAACTCAAATCTTTCAGACCCAATACTCCCTGACCATTTCTGGATGAATCCTTTCGCCGTACACTTTAGCCAGCTCAAGGCATCTGATATGGTCCTGGTAGATGGTGAAGGGTACGTGGTGAAAGGGGGCAATCAAGCGATGATCAACGAGGCCGGGTTCATGATTCACTACGAAGTTGTCGTACTGACGTAGTCAGTACCCACCGCAGATCACCTGCTTGGGTATATAGTCGCTCTTCAGCACCTCTCTTTTGTAGACTAGAGATCAACTCAGACAACTTTCAATGCTTCCTCGATCATCTCGTCTTCAGTTCCCCCTTCACACATCGGCTCAGGTGAGAGAAGTTCACAAGGCCCGGCCCGACGTCATTGCAGTGGCACATGCCCATAGCATGGGGGGCAAAGCATGGGCCTCATTTGGAAAACCTATCGAAATGCTTACACAAGGTAAGACAGTTTCGTATGTTCCCTATCGCTCGCCAGCTCACAACTTCGCAATCTAGATGCCTGCAATCTTTACGGGAAGGTTGGTGTGTATGATGAATATGGAGGAATTGCTTTGGCGCAAGACGAGGGTCGTGCCATTGCAAAATCACTTGGGAAGACAAACACAGCATCTATTTTAATGAATCATGGGTGAGTTGGTCTCATGCTATCTTATTTACCCTGTGCTAGAAGTGCTCACTTTGAATAGACTCATCACATGCGGGACTACGGTTGATGAAGCCGCTTTCCTATTCTATTGCTTGGATGAGGCGTTCCGTGTGCAACTCATGTCAGAAGCTGCTGCTGCTAACGGACTTGAAAAGAAGATCGTCTCCGATGATCTGGCTCGGTACACTGCCAGATCCATGCAGTCGCCTGTAAGTGGGGATCAACGGATTACTCGGGGCGTGCTTACTGACCAATTTGCAGCATAACTTCTACAACGAGTTTCAGCCCGAATACAATTTGGTCGTTTATGAGTCAAAGGGCGAGGTTCTTTAGTGACGTCTGTTAAAGGTTTATTGAGTCTAAATACAAGAATGCATGGTGTCTCGAATGAGATGATTATGGCAGGAAACCCTCCTTTATATTCACATTATATTCATGTTTATAGCAATTCAGGATGAACATCTGGTCGTGGTCCGTTACACATGACAGGTTTTGTGTATTTGTATAATTATTGATTGTACAGTGTATGATGCTCCATATCCATTCAGCCCCCTCTTCCCTCTCACGTTTTG